GCCGCGGTTGGCCGCTGCCCTGTGCAGCCCTAGCCTCGGTGACCAACTCTGGGCCGTCCAGCAGGCCCGCGAGGTGGCAGTCAGGCAAGGTCTTGACGTCCCCACGTGGGAGACCTAAGGTCCGGTCGGCGAAAGCTCTGCCGGACTTCCAATAAAGTTCTTAGCAACCAACCAACAGACCCTCAGTGATCAAATGACTTGTTACTCAAGCCGTTCCATACACATGTTTTGAAAATTCCTTTGGCGATCATCGTACAAGGCCTTTTCAAGCTACTGTCACGCGCGTCGCCCCGTTCAGTAGCGCATAAAATTGAACTAGCGATCACTTGTGCTATCGAAATAGCTATGCTCTATATCTTACAAGAGGTTATGAACGTGTCGCACTTTATTCGTCACCTTTTCACAACTGTAGCTTCAGAGGAGCTCTGTAAAACTCTCTTATCATGCTTGTGCGAGAGTTTGCATCCCCATTGTTGTGTTGAAAATGAGACGGAGGAAACTTCAATAAAGTTTATTAAACGAGAAGGAGCAGTCCTTTCAGGAACCGAAAAGCAAAAAATTGTATGGTAATGACAAAATAAATTACATTTCAGGAAGATGAAAGCGAGAACAGCATGGCAAAATAATGCATTTGCACAGTCTGGGTAACAGTTAATGAAAGTTGTACAGGAAACAAAATGTAAATGCCTGTGGATTCTCAGGGAACACGTATTGCCAGCTTTACGAAGCCTGGCATCCTTAAGTGCACTCAATTTTGCAACCCTTGTGTGTAGTTACACAAATACTGCGACAATATGTACATATTGGCGCAAGCAGCACACCAGCAACAGCCGAAAAGTGAATTACACATGGTAAAGAAACTGTGAAACACAGTTATGAACCTTAAGAGATCCTGACACTAGCACATGATAATAATCATAAAATTTGGGGTATAACGCCTCAAAACAACGGCACAATCCTGACAGACGCCATAGTGGAGAGCTCCGGAAATTTAGATCATCTGATATTCGTTAATGCGCACTGACTTCGCATGGTACACCGGCCACAACCATTTCGCCTCAGTCGAAATGTGACCGCCACGGGAAGAGCGAACCCACGACCTGAGTCAGGAGCCGGGCACGCACCTTAGCCACTGTCTACCGAGGCGGACGACGCTAGCATCTGAACACATTTTCGGTGTTTTTGAAATCCCTGCCATGATGCTAGAGTTAAAGCAAGCGTTCTGTAGAAGTATGGCCACGCTTCACACAGTAAATGTTGGACAACCCTGCATACATGTAGCTGCATTTACACGGGAGTGTCTCATCGGATGATTCTCTAGCACCAAATAATGTTTATTTGACATCAATTTACTCGTAGCACGGTAACTTGTGTTCTTATTTTCCTCGAGCATTCTAGAGCTGCAATTTAAGCCAATTTTCGGAAGTACAACAGGTCTTGTTATAAAGTGCGCCAAGGTATACCTCTGAAACTCAGTGTTGTTCCACTAATCCTCTCTTTGCAACATGTTCCTTCCTACAAAGCAACACAGCGACAATTTGAAGATCAATTTCGCTTTGGTACATCGATACCGGCGACGCTCGAGATTCAGAGCAGTGCAATTGCACTGAGTTCCAAAAAAAAGTATAATAGGTGAAGTGCATAAGTTGTGTTCGTTTAAAGTTCAAGACAAAGCGAAATGAGCATACACAAAGGAGGCGAAAAAATGAGGGCGATAACGAACGCGATTATCTGGGTGAACGGTGGCGGCCGAAATTGCGTGCACCTCGATACATGCGCTAATGTAAGCAGAACTGGACTAAGGTTCACGACGCGCCCATTGCATACGAACGCGTTGCGTTGCCGAGGCACCGCAGCCTTTGAGCAAGCAGCTTATCAGCGGCGGCAGGTACAAGATGAAACTCGAGATGTGTGGCTGTTATCGCTTTCCGACGCACCGCGTACAGGTCAGTGCCGCTGTAAAAATCTTCACTGTGCCCGGAGTCGCGAGATTACGGCCGTTAGGTGGCAAGGCGACACCTTCGTAGCGCTGTTCACGGCTCCTGAGCGGTGGTGAGCCGTTATGCAATACACGTGCGATGTAGACTACTTAGCACAAGTACCGAATTTTATCACACTATGTGGCCTCTAATAGCCGAACATCAAATACAAGATCCGCGCACATCGCATAACGGGATATTTGCATAGATGTTGCAGGAAATCACATGTGCTTGTTTCCGTAATATATACCACATTTAACGCGTTTCACGTAAGTGTTCCCATGCAGACGTATTAAAATAATCAGCGCTAAAAATCAACGAGCACGCAAAAAAAAAGGACAGCAGTCAAAGGACTGGTGCTAGTAACGGCTGTTCCTTTTTGTCACACTCGCCGTGCTTCTTAAATATATTGTGGGCATTTGTAACTTACAGCAACTTGAGGGTACGTGGCTATAGGGTAAGAAGCAGGTGGCTGTACGGGCGCAGAGCCAGTCAGGGATGTAAGTTCCTCCCTGATGATGTCACGTAAGGGCATTCCCGAAGGCTGTGTAGGTCGCGGTGTAGGAGGTGTGAAGCCCATGGACCGCAATTCTTCGCGTATAATGTCCCGGATGAGGTCACGCAGATGGCCATCTGACGTGGAGTGGTGGTCGCCGATGTCTGGTTGAAGGTGAACGGAGTCCAGCGCATCAAGGCGCTGGCATGTCGCAACGACATCAGCGATGGTAGCTGGGTTTTGCACAGCGAGGGCATTAAAGGCAACAGGCCCAATGCCTTTCAATATGTGGCGCACTTTGTCCGATTCCGGCATGGATTTTTTGACACGCCGGCAGAGTGCGAGGACATCCTCGATGTATGAAGTATACGATTCACCTGTATGTTGTCGGCGAGTATCGAGTGTCCTCTTCGCGACGGCGGATCGAATGTCTGGTGTCCCAAATACGTGCCGCAACTGCTGCTGGAAAGTAGCACAGTCGGGTAAGTCAACGACGTGGTTAAAATACCATGTCTTCGCGACTCCGACCAGATAAAAAGGCACGTAACGCAGTTTGGCGGCCTCGTCCCACCTATTAGCGGCACTTACGCGGTCGTAGTCATCAAGCCAGTCTTCTACGTCTTCTCCCCGAAGACCAGCGAAGAGCGGGGGTTCCCGCTGATGTCCGTGTATGTAAGTAGGAGGGGCAGCTTGCGGCGGTGCGTGGTTGATGACATCAGTGCCGGCAGGCTCGGTCTGGGACATGCTGCCTGACTGTGGGCGCAAGCGGCGGCCTGAACGAAGCTCCAGGGGGTATAGCGGGCTGCGGGAGGTCAGAGGACTGAAAATCCACCTCCACCACGTATGAAGTCTTGGTAGTCTCGGCTGCGACAGCTTTTATTTGAGGAAAGACCTCGCAAAACGAACTGGCAGAGCCAGCACACAGACGATGACGATGAAGATGACCCAGAGTGGCAATGAGGGCAAAGAGACAAGCGGATGATGGTGATTGTGATTATGCAGGGATGAGGACGATGTAAGTTACAAATGCCCACAATATTTTTATAATACCAAGCAAAAGCAAAAGTAGTTAGTGTCGGCTCGCTTTAGCATAGTTTTTTTTATCTAATCAAAAAGAACGTTGGTGTACGTTTGAGTGCGGCCTCGCTATTCTCGCATACCTCTGAATTTGAGTTTATGCGAGGCTCCTTTTGTCATGCGGAGCTGTCACATATTGTACTTCGTTATACGGCAGCTGTTACCGCATATTCATTTACTTCATCTTTTAGCTTTGTTTCCAGTGCCACGTAGCGCATGCACAACATCGTGGAAGTGTACTGAAACTCGGCGGGTGTGATGAAAATGAACAGTTAGTGCATCATTTTTTCGTCGGCTCTAGCTTTTCGTGCGCTGTTCGAAATTTAGCGCTTTTTCTTTTGCTATTCATGGATAGCGAACTAGCCCGACAGTCTGTTCTGCTAAAATACCATCATACAATAATCGATGCGATTTAACGTCCTAAGACCCCAATATCTTTATGAGAGACGCCGTACTTGAGGGCTCCAGACATTCTGCCATCTGGGGTTCTGTAACGTGCACCCAAATTCAAATACACGGGCCTCGAGTATTTTCATCTACTTTCACCCGGAGTGATCAATTCCACGACCTGCGGGGGACCACAAAAATGCAGACGTATGTTCTGGTCGTTCGTATTAAGTCCAAAACTAGAACAGCTCGGTAAATCCGATCAGAGAGTCTAATATATCTATTAAGCCAAAGATGATATTTTAGGCACTGACGATTGGCTTTAAGTTTGCGATATTTCTTGTGCTTACTTTAGCACAGAAAAACCTATTCCGGGTCGAAAATAAATCCAATTCTAGACCCACGTGCACCGCTGATTGACAAGCGAACAGCGGTTTAGCAAGGGGGGGGGGGGGGCTTGTTTTTACGTTGCAACCGACCCTACATGGTAAACTGACGCAACAGGCAGACCAGTAAATTTGCGCAGACAGCATCATTATTTTCCGTGTCTTTCTTTCACCGGTATTCTCTCTCTTTCACTGTTTTAGATTGTAAGATACGCCACACAAACCTTGCAAAGCATCTACTTGGGCAGAATATTCTTAAGAGCAACAGAAACAGGGCATGTTTAATCTCGCTACTGAGAAATATGTACCAGCCGTACAGCCTGCGATGTCTGTGGTCTGTTTTGCAATCGGAACATTATCGCAGAAATATATAAACGCGGATGTGTTTATGATAGTCGGAAGGCGCCCTTGCACGGAGTACCACTAAAAGTTCACACATTATGTCACCTTGACCAGAAACACGCAGTGCATCAGTGAGTAATTAAAGTGTGGCTGCTACAGGTGCACCACATATACACAATTTTTTCGCCTGAACGCACAGAGGACATCTATATGCTAAAAGCCGTTTAAAAAAAAAGAAACCTTTCTTGAGCTGCCAGTTTTTAATCTCTACACCACTGGGTTGAAAACTCCAACCAATCTCACCAACCCAAATAGTCGTATATACAATAAATAGTACTTGAGAAGCTCCAAAACACACCGAAATAGCGTCGTTAGTCCTAAGAAACCGGCAGAGGTACACTTGGCGCATGCTTCGCCGCCACCAAACATAAGCGAAGATGACCACACTGCCTGTCACCGTCACGGAAGCAACACACAACATCGTCGAAAACAAAGGAGAGCATCCCTGAATACGGTGGCACATCGAGTGACATCCACAGTAGAGTACACACAGTAGTTCACTCACAACAAAGCCGTGAGTCCCGCTGTTACCACGGTTAAGAGCAACTGAAACGCACGAGCGCCCGGAGGCTCAGCTGGTATGGTGGCGGCCACACCCGACGGTTCGTCACCAGCGACATCACTGGGTGGAACGGGCGGTACGTAACAGGTGTCGCTCAAAGGGTCGTAGATGCTAGACCCCGCGTGACCGCCACACTTGCGCGGATTCACGAAGTGGCTCCGAACGCCGAGCACGAGGTGCGTCACGTCGGGCGCGTCGTGGCCGTAAGCGGCCGGTCGAGCGCCGCACTCGACGGCACCCGCCGACGATCCGCCGGCGCACCGAAAGCAGTGGAAGTTGCGGTAGTTTGAGAACTTGCGCGGCGAGTACACGTACGCGGTGTAGCTAGAACAGAGGACAACGTCGCGTCTCGAGGCTCCCTTCCGACAGGTAGAAGAAGCGAGGCGACACTGGCGAAGTCCGGGCACCTCGTGCCAGAAGGACTCGGAGGACGTGTCGGAGACCTGCAACCTGCAGCTGAGCCCCTCGGCACCGTGAAGCGCGTGGCTCATCTTGCCGTAGTGTCCGGCTGAGAGCAGACGCAACACCTTCTCGGCGTTCCACGCTCTGTTGCAGCGAAGTTCCAGCTGCCAGGGTCTGAGGGAGTGCAAATCATTGTGACAGGCGGCGCAGAACACGTTGGCGTACATCGTCCTCGTGGTGTTGCTGTAGACGGGCACGTTCTGCAAAGGCTTCAGCTGCTGCCCCCGCCGGAGGCAATGGTCACGCAAGTCCCAGTCCACCGACGGGTCCTCGGGGCACGAGGCCAGGGCGTAGAACTCACGGCCGTTCTCGAGGACGCACCGCCATTGAGACGCCGCGTCGGGGAACGTCTGAGCACCCGAAGAGACACCGCTGTGGTCGACGCAGCAGTCGCCGTACCGTCCGCAGTCGGCGTCGCATCGACACACATTGTCCAGTGCACCCAAGGTGCAAAGGTCCTGGCTTGCCGGGCACACTCCTGCCGCGAGCGGTTCTCGTCGCACCGTAGTCCACCATGGCTCCACGTCATCATCGATGCCCTAATGAGTGGAAACACACATACGCCATCAATTTGAAGTAGACTTATCCCTGGAATTGGGTTTACTGACACAAAATGCCACGCTGCGGTAACCACGGGCGACAAGATTTCCCTTGTAAATGCAGCATTCATTGCAGTACTTCACACTTAGTCAAATAATATATTTCATCTAAAACGCTGGACCTGCATTTACAAAAACACACTACGCTAAAAATTTATTTCTGAGAATATTTCAACCCGTAGGGACGCCAGACATATCATTAGTTAAGTCGGCTGACCAACTGGAAAACGTACTTACAGGAGTATTGTGTATTCATCCCATAACCTCGTGAATTGAAGGTAATAGCACGCCATATCCTTGTAATAATCAAGGGTAAAGTCGAGGTCAGTTAACAGGTAAACCGTGGGCAAAGTCGAGGTTACATTAACCATCAATAAAGTTGTTTGTGCATTATCTGCTGTTCAGTAATTGCGTATTAGGCGCGCGTGCACCCAGTCTGAAGACGACACGGGGGGACTTTTCTGCGAAGTAACTAGACATATACGTACGCGTGAAAGTTCTGCAAAAAGTAGCAGCAAAGCTTGTGTGGTCCACTATTTTAGTGGTGGTCATGCACAGCGAGGTTTCGTTGGGATGTATTACATTCATCGTTGTATGAAGTTGACGGAATGAGGGGGCGAATCCGGGTGGTGTAACCGCAGTAAACTCGGTCGAAGCGCGCGTGTTCCATTGCCATGAATGTATTTTGTGACTATTCACTGCGATAACGCCCGGCGCGCAGTCATCAGAGATATAGAGTGCAACGGTAAAAGCGTCAGCAAGTGTGCAGATAAGGATAGGCCGGTCGCATGTGTTTTTGGAAACAGCTGCACTATTCAAGCGGCAGTAAAGTTCTGGCCTCATGCGTGTATGAAAAACATTCTGAAAGCTCGCTGTGAATAACCATGTGTTTATAGTGAAGTGTATTTCTTTGTTTCTTCAGGTAGCAAGCCCGGAATTCAATATTGGGATGATCCTCAAACCACAGGTAAATCACGCAGGATTTTCATGCTTTTACATTTATAATAGTTTTCACGGATTCTACAAATATCGTGCAACTGTAACTAAGCTATACCTATTGAACGCCCGGAATTCGAAATGCATCCAAGGCCAACATACACCAATCACGAAAGGTCACTGAATAAAGGCAAAAAAAAAAACGAACTGCCGGTCAATCACTGGACTTTGTCTCGGTGCTAGGCCAATACGACGAAAGGCAACGGCCGCGGTCTGGTGGCACAACGCACCTGCGAAGCCCACGACAAGGCCGGAGACGCAGCGGTCCCAAGGAGCGCCAAGAGCAGGAGCGGCAGCCTCTCTCGGCACGCTAGGCGTCTTCCTACGTCGTGAAGCAACATCGGCGCGGCCCGCACCCGTTCGCCGTTGGCACCAGTCCACAACGAAGACGGCGGCGACAGCGCCGCATCAAGCACTACCCCTCACTCGGCGCTCAATCCCGGCGGCGGCCTTCGGCTTTCTTCGCTAGGCCGGCGCGCAGACCGCGGCAAGCCCGTTTTCGCTTCAACGCGCCAGCCACCCAACGGTCGCGCAAACGACGCGCCTGAGCCCCCACGCACGTGACTTCGACGTCACAGCCTCCTCATCTCGGCCATTCTGGGCCTTCTTTCGCCTTCTACCCACGCTAGCCTCTCTCCTTCCATATCTAACGCAACACCCCCCTTTCGCCATTTTCACCACGGTAGCTTACGAAGCGAATACGCAAAAAGTCCGCCGCGGATAACATGCGCAGTCGGCGGATCGGTGGCCCGTCGGACGCGTCAGGGTCGCGGGGGCGCGGCGCGGGAATGACACGACGGTAGGCGCTCCCGTTCGTGACGTCACCACGCTGTTTTCATTTTTCATGAGGCGCAATTAACGCTCTGCGGGGAAGCCAGCAACACGGGCAGAGAGGTATGGCACGACGCGAACAGGATGTCGTTTCGAAAGACGCGATACACGGATAGAAACATGTTCGTTCGCATTGTTACTCAAAAAACGCTGTGCAGCATTACGGTTTAGTAATAGCGAAATCTCTCATTCACAAAAGGTTCTGGTCCTAGTAAGATCGCTTAAGCGCTTGGAGCACTCGTTCGGTTATTTACAAAAGACTGCCGATTTTAATTTTCATTACCACAGTTCATTGGATAAAGGGTCACGTGTGCCTAAAAAGCACCATGTCCATGGTGATTGATTTGATTGATATGTGGGGTTTAACGTCCCAAAACCACTATATGATTATGAGAGACGCCGTAGTGGAGGGCTCCGGAAATTTAGACCACCTGGGGTTCTTTAACGTGCACCCAAATCTGAGCACACGGGCCTACAACATTTCCGCCTCCATCGGAAATGCAGCCGCCGCAGCCGGGATTCGAACCCGCGCCCTGCGGGTCAGCAGCCGAGTACCTTAGCCACTAGACCACCACGGCGGGGCTGTCCATGGTGTCGATTGTGGTGCATGGATTATGGAAGTTCTGTACCACGTAAACATTGGGCTTGAAAAAAAAAAGATTATTTTAATGTACAACCCTGTGCAAAATTATGTGGGCCACTGTGGTCCGTACACCTTTGACGTCTAGGGGCGAGTGGTGTGCTGTCGAAAGCACTTATCTGACAAATTTTGTCAAAGCAATGCCCTCGACAGCAGCTGGCTTGCGTCTGCACGGCGTAGAAAGCCATTCCGGCTTGCACTTCGATGGTCCGTATACTTTCACTCACGGCTGTACGTAAGCATTTAATTAACAAGAAATGAACTTGAATGTAACGTGGGACTATATAAGACTGTTCCAGAAAACTGATGGCCATTTTTTTTTACTTCTTTCTCGATGTAATGACAAAAACGCCTGGACTTCTTCGGGGCAGGACTCCAATAATGCATCCCCGTTTTGAACACAAACCAAAACGTATTCCTATTGTTCCTTACATCTCGATGCGTCAGCACACATTCGAGTAGTTTCACCAGGGTGGTACCACGAATATCAGCAGTCTATAAGAACAAAAGTTACCTAAAAGAACATCCTAAACTTAACGTAACCGCGAGAACCCCTTTTCTGTGTTCATCAATAATACCTCCCGCGCAAATATATTTGATGTCTACGTACTTTATTCACGAGAAAACCAAAACAATGCAAATCTCATTGCAATGTTTCAATAATATTCTGCTTAATAACATGTAGGTCGTATTTGATTTTACAGTATATTTATCACCACTTTTAATGTGTAGTGTGAGCCCTAACAGCAGTTATTCGGCAAATGAATTTTCCTTTCCAGCACCTTCCTCTTTTTGGTCGAGTGGAGTGATAAGCAGTTTTGTCCATTACATCATATATTGTTTTAAATGCGAAATATTTCTTGAAAACTCTAAGTCACATCTGCTGTTTATTACTATCTATCTACGTATCTATCTGTCTATCTATCTATGTATCTATCTATCTAACTATCTGTCTGTCTGTCTGTCTGTCTGTCTGTCTGTCTGTCTGTCTGTCTGTCTGTCTGTCTGTCTGTCTGTCTGTCTGTCTGTCTGTCTGTCTAGGCACTTACGTCTGGGCGCTCTACTGGTCATCTCCTCGACTTATAATCTACCAAATTTACATAGCAGATACGGACACGATTCACTCCTTATGACACGAATAACGTAAAGTATCCGTCGCGTAAGTCATGAAACCCTTTCCCTCAGTCACGTGAGGCACGTATCTAAATACCCCCGTTCAAGTTATGCGGGTGTCCACCCTTGGTGATAGTCTCCATCGACACAGTAACAATGAACATACTCTCTGAAAAGTCCGGCAGATCTCTGCATTTCGAGAATCGATATCATGATCACTCTCCGGGTATAACAGCTGAGTGGTAACGTCGGCTGTGGCTGTAGCATTGACTATCTGCTCTCATAACAATCCAATTCGATTTTTTCAATTCTTCTTTTATTTAATTTTTCTCGCCATACACCGAAAAAATGGAGGAGGCCCGAACAAAAGGTGAAACACCGCTCTGTTTACGGGGATGCGGGCCCCTTTTACAACGTACACAGCAGGGCAGTGGATGTGGTACACAGAAAAACGTACGATACGCGCATATGTGCTAACAGGTACCACTTACTTATCTACGTACTTAGCTATTCTTAATTAGTTATCTCGATAAATGTCAAAGTATATACGTATATAGTGCCGACCACTTGCAATCACCTGCTGGTCGGAGCTTGTGCAGTGCACAAGAACAGCTGGAAAGTGGTATCTCGACATTCCAATTCATTGATGCCACGCACACAATCCGCCAGAACGACGCAGTGTTTCTCTTCGTACTCTACTAGGCTGGGTGATGGCCTCATGTTGATTTAGGATAACGTGAGATTGATTGAAAGACGCTGCCCACTACCTTGGCCACATACGCCCAGGAGGTCTAGGAACACGGCAAGCCCTACCAAATGAAGTTGGTATAAGTTGCACTATCCAGGGCTACCAGCCTCGACGGTCTACCCTCACCAACGCAAATGTCTACTTCAGTTTCCGACATATCACCTGCTCTATTGACAAACAATTCGTCGACGAAATGACGTGGCAAGCCAACAGGCCTGTAGACAGTCTTAATTGTATTTATACTGGTACTGAGCGCAAATACTAGGTAAACGACTAGCGAGAGGACAGAGACGCAACGTATTGTCCAGCCACTGTCTGGGATACCGCCTACATACGGTGCCACATCCACAATAATCACTTGCCTGTGCCACGATCGCGTGCATGACTTCGAAAGTGACGCAATGCTCACAAAACTTGGCGTGTTAGCACTTTCTGAAACCTATAGCGATGAGCCCTTGGCCATCACTGGGTTCCACTGTGGGATTCCGCAATAAGAGGCTTCATTGCAAGTGCCGCGGCGTGGCTATAACGAGAACACTGTGATGTACAACTTCAACGTTGGCTGCAATAAACTTCGCCGGGCACCGTAACACCGAACATATTTAGACAAGAAGCCTAATCCACCTTTTCTGTTTCCCTGTGCCGCCCTCTGCCGTCTTGGTGGGGCTTTGGTATGAGCCGGGAGAACTGTCAATGCTATCAACGAAGGCCTCCGAGACCGTTAGGCGTCTCGCGACATTTCCGCTAGGAGAAGGGCGCGTGCGCTATGGCATTGTCAAAAAATGCGGATTGGTGACGCATGCGTTTGCGCATATAAATCACAACAGCGAAGACATTGCTTTCGCTGCCGTCTACTTAGCCCCGGAGCGTGAAAGAGTTCGTCCAGCGGTTCTTACCAACATACTCCAGGGATTACGCAAAACAAAAAAAACATGGTCATTGCTTGCAATTGTAACTGCTGAAAAGATCATGCCCTTGATCCCTTCCAATAATTTGAACATTGGTTTAGGAAAACCCTACAACGCCTGGTTTATGCATGCACTATACACGAAAGACATTTTAGATGTGGCCGGGGCAGCGTCACACCCCGTCTTCACGTGATAAACCTTTGACGTCCCCACTGCAGATGAACTGTGCGCACGCCTGTGACGCCATGTATAAACAAAAAATATCAGCTCACCCCTTGTTGTGTTAGGAATACCCATGCTGCTGTTGGTAAGGGTACGAATCTTTAAACACCTGGTTATATAACATGTATGCCAATCTTCAGCATATGAGTATAACAAATATACGCATCTTTAGCGTCATATCGCAACGTTTCGCTCATTAAAAAATTACGCCACACTCACCTTCCCGCCACACGCTTCACGTAGCATCGATTCAAACGGTACGTGGGATACGCCAAGCTTTTTAATTGCTAAAATTTTCTGTCTTCCATGTCGAAACCAAACCATTGAATTTTCTGTGTGTGGACACATTCGCACGCGTGTGTATACGTGTGCATACTAATGTGCATTTGTTTCGTGTCTGCCCGTGAGGTCAATGCTTCAATTACCAGCCATGATGGCCACATCTCGACGTGGTCGAAACGACGAACATGTCAGTGTACGTCTATGATCCCCATTATTCAAGCTCCCCCCTCCCCCACCATTCCCCATCAACGTTCCTTACAATAATAACCTGGGTGATATTTGCAGGTAAAACGAGAAAATCTGGTTTCAAAGGAGAATTCTTCACTCGGTATTAATTTTTAGGTAAAAGTGTCTGATCACCTGTGATTCTTTCGCCGACGGCGTGGGCATTGTGTGTCGTCGTGCAATTTATCAGCGCTGAAAGAGTACGTAACATCCCAACGCGCACTGTAATCGCCGAACTTCCTGCCGTTGTTCGGGACACTTCTTTATGAGGTGTAATCGTGAGTGCCAAAATGAAATCAACGTGGTTTAATCGCAAATGAAATGCTCATACCTACACTAAGCGCGAAGGGAATTTGAAACACTGATTCAAGTTTCTAGTTTTGTTATTTCCGAAAACAAGTTACAAAATCTGAGATACACAGACGAGGGTCCCAGAGCCAGAGACTTTAGTGGGACTCTCGGTTTGTCGATACAAAATGACGGTAAAATTTATACAGAGCAACAGAAAATTCTTACAATATACGGACATCAAAACACACTTTTACATCACAAATTGAGCCAAAGCA